GAAGGCCTTGGACTTCGACTCACATCCATTCTTGAAGACCTTGGACTTCGACTCACATCCATTCTTGAAGACCTTGGAATTCGACTCACATCCATTCTTGAAGACCTCGGACTCACATCCATTCTTGAAGACCTTGGACTCGCATTCATTCTTAAAGGGGATGGTCCGTGCGTGGAAGATTTCTTGTAAAACGTGCATGAACACATAAAACAAACATATATATAACAAGAAAACACATCTGCATAATTTCAAAATGCTCAGAACTATGTTAAAAATTGTAGTTTTCACGACCCTATTTCAGCCCCTTCTGGGAGTAAAAGCTAAACGACAGCCGCTGGGTACAGAAAGTTTCTTTTAAGAAATTCCTAAGAATTGTGACGTCATAGGACGAAGTCCTTTATCCGGCAACCGTTTACTGTTACGCAATGACGCGTCGACATGTACATAATGTAGTAGCGTTAGCGTGTGCAATCATGTCAGACTCAAGCGACTGTAATTCCAGTGTTGAATTCCAGTGATCAGTTGTCATATTCGTCTTATTCATTTGTCAAAGAAAGTGACATTGAAGGAGCTGATGAGGCACAAGAAATATTGCCTTGTCAGTTCGAACCAGAATATACTCAAGAAGAGATTTTGCAACTTGAGGCTGTTGACCACGGGCATGGTGGAGACCCGGAGGATTGATAACCAAACACTGACTGGTCATGATTTCATTTTTTCCTGTACTATTGTAAAACTTTGTTTTTCTGAAAAGACATAATTGTCCTGCCATTGGCTATTCAATAGATGTATAGTAGAAGCAGTTTTTTGTCCAAGGATATAGGCTAGCCTACTTCATTAAAGTCGGTGTTCCATTCTGACAATTTCACCGTGCACTGCGAGTCACTTGCTTGGTATCGACGATCATTGATCATTGATTTTGTCCCTGTGTTAGTATTTTGGTATAAAGTGTTATCGTTTGGCCGATGTTCATTTTGTTTAGCGCGCAAGGAGGCACGCCCCCGCTTTGTTCACCGACCCATCGACACCTTTGCAATGGAGGATCGCGATGCCACGTTCAAATGTGTCATTGCAGCGCCCTCAGAGCCTGTTGTAACTTGGTGAGTCGGCCGGCTTTCCGCCCCCCAAAAAGAATACAGATTTGGTTGTGTGTCACATCTGTACGGAATTCAGTGAAGGGTTTTGAAGTCAGTGATTGATTACTGTAACAGGAAAGCGTTAAATGGTAGTGCATTCTATTGAGATTCAAACCCTAAAGCCAAGCCTGGCAAATATCTGCTCTTTTAAAGGGTGGGTCCTGGGTTCGAATCTAGCCTGGGCCAATTTCACAGAGCTGCTTAACAGTTAATAGAAAAGTTGTGCTAACTTTAGCAGAAAACTCTGATACCTTCAAGCACTATTTGAAGGCGGTTGTTGGTGTGGTGTGCGTGCATAGAGATTTCTATTGTTATGCCACTAAGTTGAAGTAAGTTTTTCCTCCAAGGTCAGCATGCCTTTGGCTGCGCTTTCTGCTTGTGGTCTCCATGAAATACTTGGAGCCTCTGTTGGCATCAAATCATGTACTAAGCAGCTCCGTGACATTGTATGAAAGAACTCAGGGATTCAAGTCTTGACAGTTTTTTATGTTCAATTAGGGAGTTTTTTGACCTCATGATAAGTGTTGCAGAGCTTTGATTTTACTCAGATGGTATGGAGTTTCACTCTACGCGACACATAGGGTTGGGTTTGTTTTTCAGGTAGACTAAACAACTGCAGATCCATGACATTTTAATAGTGATGTTGAGTTTCACTCTGCATGACACATGTGGTGGTCTTTTTTAAGGTGGAAAGACGACAAAGAACTGAAGCAGAGCTTGAAGTACAAGTCCAAATACGATGACGTCAACTACTCCTTGGTCATTGGACGTTGCCAGCTAGAGGAAGCTGGCCAGTATATGGTCAAGGCGGTCAACTCCTATGGTGAACTGATCAAAGAGTCGCATCTCACTGTCGAGCGTGAGTAGGGTGGCAACCGCGTTATAACTGGCTATATGGCTGAGAGCAACACAAAGTCTGTAGGAAGTGGCAATAGCTGCTGGCTATTTGCTCCCATAGGCACGTGTTATTACAAGCCATAGCTGCTGGATTAGAACACAGTCAAAGATGACCACATTGCCTCTTGTAGAGCGGTCCACAATACCAAGTTTCTCATAGAGGCCTGACATAAACCACTCTGTAATTCTTTTCAGTATTTTTTATTACAGTATAGAAAGAAATTATTGAGCATATTGAATTTTTGCCATTTGTGATTGACGTATTTTTTTTTTTTTTTTCAAAAATTTGTTTGTAGCTGATCCAATGAAGAGACGTGAAGAAAAGAAGAGAAGGTAAGGAAAAATAAATCCATAAAAACTTGCTTTGTTGTAAAATCTGCAGTTTTGATTAGACTTGCAAATATGAGGGAGAGGAATTTTAGGGTTGCAGTGTACTGTTGAAGCTTAGAAATCAGAGTCAGCAATTTAAACATTTTCGATTCAGGCAAAGATCCTGGGTTCTTAATCCTACCATGGACAGGCAGTGCTGGTGTCCTGAGCAAGGTACTTAACGCCACACTTTACCTCTCTCAACCTGTGAGTCTTATTTTCGTTTTGTCGCAGACCTGTAGAGCAGCTACCCCCACCTCGTCCCGACTCCAAACCGGCCTTCACATTCCGCCTGCGGCCACGGACCATCCAGGAGGGATCCAGCGTCCGGCTCAGCTGCATTGCCTCTGGTTACCCAGAACCTAAGGTAGAACCCCCTGCCCTCTAGCCTGAGTTATCTAAAACCCAAGGTATTCCCTCACCTGGCTTTTTAGCCAGAGAATGCAAGATTCCAACACCACAACGTCTTATCAGGGTTAGCAAAAGCCTAACATATACCCCTCAGACTCTGTAGCTTGGGTTACCCAACATGCAAGGTGGTCCCTCTTCCTCTAGGTTATTCACAACCATCTGTCTCTCTTTCCCTAGTTTCCCCGAGCTATTTTTCTCTGTCACCTGACAGCTTATGAACACCTCTTGCCAGGCTCACATAGAGCCTAAGGCTGTCCCTCAAGCCAGGGTCATCCAAAACCTGGTTTTGTCCCTCAACTGTCTTGGTTAACCAGAACCTAAAGAGTCTGATACTCCTCTCGGTTACTCTTAACCCAGGTAGTCACTTACCTATCCTTTTAACCTGGGTTATCCAGAACCCAAGGAAGTCCCTCACGCCAGGGTAACTCAGCGTACAAGGCTGTGGGAAAGGAATTGGACTGTGACGCCTTTGTCACATAACGAGAGCATGTTCACAGAATGACAGCTTATTTGCATCTTCTTTCTTGCCAGGTTACGTGGATGCTGAATGGCGAAGTCATCCCTAAGGCACACCCGGACTTCAAGCAGGAGTACTCCTACCGCATGGCGGTACTAGAGATTGACCGGGTCACTCCAGAGACCAGCGGCCGATTTGCCTGCATTGCCGAGAACTGCATGGGAACTGACGAAACGGAATGTATAATCAGTGTGGAAGGTAAACAGTAATCTGCAAGCACACAAGAGTTGGTCACAATGTGGTCGGTATGGAGTCAACACAGCAAACTCCCATGACCTGTGCCCAGATTTCGTGATTGTGCTTTGTAATTTCATCCAGGATAGGTGAGGAAAATATTTGAAACAAACCTACCCACTCAATGTAAAGATATTGCCACCCTTGTAGTCCTAGGACCTCTGCTCCACTCTCTGATTCAACATTTCAACACTTCTCCTTGTTTAAACCAGGCTTCAATAACCTAGCTATTCCCATCAATCTATTCGAAATCTCTTCAAAACAACTGGCAAGAGGCTGTCATTTTTTTGCAGACCGATCCAGGCGTGGCCAAAAGGTCTCTAGTCAGGAGTACAGTGCCACCACCCGACGGTCCAAGCGACGTGAGGATATGACGGAGGAAGACACATCCGCGGCGGCTCGGACCATCCAGCAAGGCTTCCGGGAGTACCGACAGAAGAAAGAGAGCGTCTCTGAAGAGATCACAGGTCAGGAGACAAGAAACAGAGACTTCCAGTCAAAGCTGATTGCTTCATGAAACACTCCCCCATCAAAGTCCAGTTTAAATTTGTTGCTCACCTTAAATGTTTATGAAGAGACAGTACCATTAGAACTATTTTCAGTTTCAATATAAGACATCCTTTGACCAAGATGATGCTTTATAAAAGCTGAAGGCATCTGTTTTCATAGTTTGCAAGCACCATTTAATTAGTCAGAGCCTAGCAGGTGAAATAGGTCTGCTGTTCACAGGGCTTTGACCAATTGGAAGTTCTGTTACTTTGAACAAAACTGGAAAGATTTTTTTTCTGGCTCAGAATCGGAAGAAGGTGGAGTGCACATGCGCAGAGAAACGCGCAGAGAAAGACGGGAAGAAGTTCAAGTTGCCCAGACCAGCTCCTCTGATGCCACCAGGGGCGAGGAGAGCCAGGCCCAGATTGAGGTCGGTGTCAGAGAGGCCATAGATGTTGACTTGGGAGGGGCCAAGAGGGAAGACATTGCCATGGTCGAGGAGTCAGGTGTGGTGGAAGAGGCAGGTGTGGTTGAGGAGGGAGGTGTGGTCCTAGAGGATGCCGCCCAGGTGGAAGAAGCACCAGAAAGGGGAGAGGAGGCACCTGGTGAGTTTTTAGAGCATAGACCGGCTAGGGATGGATTGGCCGGTGCTTGTTGGCTGATGAATTGGTTGTAGGTTGAATGGTGGACCAGCTAGAAGGCTGGCCAGCAGGTTGTCTTTCCATCCCCCCCCCCCAATTTCGTGAGGGGCTTGTAAGGAGGCTGGCTGCTTAGCCACTATTAGTTGGCTCACAAAGTGAATTGCTTGGCTGGACATCAAGTCAGCTTATGCAGTTGAATATGTCTTTTTTGCATTATATCAATGTGGCATCCAAACTTGCTTTGCTTTTCATTTTTGCTCCAGCTGTACCGGAGGGCTACAAGGGTCCCATCATGGTGGTCCAGCCTCAGTCCGTCAGTGTCGAAGAAGGAATGAGTGCCAAGTTTTACTGCAAACTGTTAGAAGCAGCTGACGAAGGTAAAGACTCATCCCTATTATGCTCAGTAAGAGTAAAATCTCCTTGCATGTAGAGGGCCTAAAGTATTACCTAGCAATAAAGGCCAGTAAACTTTGTTGGCAACCTGAAAATGCCTAAGTCTAGAGCCTATTTAGTGAGAGTTGGGTTCTAGCACCTCACCGTGAAATCTGGCTCATTACAAGTCCATTTTAAATCCGGCCTTCAGTAAATTCTAAGCTAGTCATCAAGTCTAGTCATAATAGACAGGTTGGATATGGACAGTGGCAAATACATGCCTTTGCCACTGTTCTTTAAACATTTTTTTGTTTGCATTGGGAATCAGAAGACTTGTAAGAACCTCTCTCTCTTTCCGCTCGCAGCAAGTGTGTCACTTTGTTATTGTAATTCTCTTCCCTCTTTCCTCATGTTGTCCCCGCACAGTCATCTGGCTCAAGGATGACCGGGCTCTAGAGGACGGAGGCCGCTTTGCCATCTCGGCTGAGACCAACGAGTACTGTCTGGAAATCCCCATGGCCCTGTCCACCGACTCAGGTCTCTACACCTTCAAGGCCAAGAACGCTCATGGAGAGTGCCAGACGTCATCCTCGCTCCAAGTTGTCCTTGAAGAAGCCGAGCCTGTAAACATCGAAGAGATTTTGAAGTCTGTGGAGTAAAAAGAAAACAGCACTTAGAAAAGTTTGTCTTGGACTACTTTTTCGTTGCCATGGAGTGTGAGAATTGTTAATTATGAAGGCTGTAACACCAAACTTTCTTGTATAATTTTTCTACAGGACACTGTAATCACCAGAAGCTTTGCAAAGTGTTGTTTTCGTGTCACATTTACTCTTCAGGCTTGTTTTACTGTATTTTCTTCTTATGCAAGAGGGTTAGGTCTTTCTTTTAACGTGATCAGTTTGATCTGTGATTTCAGATTCGGAAAAAAAAAATGAAAACTAAGAATGTTAATGTATTTGTGGAACATTTTGCTCTTAAGCTGCTAAAGGAATAATGAGATTAAGAAAAAAGTACACTTTTTAACACTGCTGTGCAATTGCTTATTTGCGAACATTAGCTGGGTTTTATTGGCATGTGTCTCAAAGCAATGAGCACTAAAGGGCGCTGTTTTCTCCAAGTGCAACCTCTGGTGGGTCTTTGTGACTATAGGGCCTCTGCCCAGCTAGTGCTTCGTGCAAATTAGGTATCATTCTTACAAGACCGTAGCTCTACAGTTGGTATTGTTGTACCTCGAAAATTAAACTTTGCCAGTTGGTAACTCTGTATGTAACATTATGCCAGCTTTCTTAAAAAATAGATTCCTCTAGTGAAAAGTAGTTTTCAGAGACAGGCAGGGGCAGTACTTCCTTTTTAGAAAAAAAGTGGATGAGTGGAACTGAGATAGTGGTGTGTTAGCTGCATTGCTGTGACATGTCTGCAAGAGGCTGTATATGACTGTAGCCTGGCTGAAGCTGGACTTTAACACTGGAATTTGTCATCTATGTGGTACTTTCTGCAAGACAGGAAAGAAAAAAGGCAAGCCAGTTTGAAGTATAATTTATGAGGCACAGCTTGAAATTTCTGGTGTACAAGGATTGTGTTGGCCTTCCAGGATTAAGTTGAACTGAACCGTTGAAATGATCAGTTTGAATAACTGCACTGGGTACAAAGTGGGGCTAGTTTTTACAATCAACTCACAAGGACTGTGGCATTCTTTTCAGAATGAAAAATCTTTTATCAAACCCAACCTGCCATTGGCTTGTCTGAGCCACCAGATGGTGTTTTGACCAATGACATCTTTACATGTACATGCGTCTTGTGATATTTGCACTCTTGTACAGCCTTCCCGGGCAGTTTCAGTCTGATCAAACTGTATCCTCTTTTTAAGGTGGTGCAAGCCCTCAACAACAGCACACATACCCCATGATTGTAAATAGCGCCCTCCAGTTGGGAAGAAACTTGAATATCATTTTTTCAAAATTTGTGCTACTTATCAATAGAGAGCCCTGCAGTGTTTTCTGTCCCGCAGTAATTGAATATTTATGGCAGTAATAAAGATTGAGTTTTTAAACGTGACAAAAACAGCAACTGTGCCACGAGTTGACTTTTGTACCCGCTTCCAATCTTCATAAATTTCAATTTGTACAATGATAGTCTAAGGTTTGGTAAAATTAAGGAGGAAAAGACAGACAAGGGGAACACTAAAATGTTGAAGGTTATTATTACCAAGTGAAAAGATAATGCTTCATATATTTGAAATTTTAAACCTCGACTGAGAAGTGTCATTGGTCCGGAGGTAAGGCACGAAACTTCTTTTCCCTGGGGCCGCCAGAACCGGTTTTGAATTTAGGTAGTCCCCCCCTTCACTTTTTATCCCCCTTGATCCAATACGGGCGATTCACAACAGTGCACCTCCAAGAGTTTGCAACGTGTTGTCCACTAACCGTTCGTGAAATCTGTCTACCCTTTCCAAACGCTCATTGGACCGATGCATTTCGCACACTGTGATTGGTCAACGCCTTGCAAACTCTTGGAGGTGCTCTATTGTGAAACGCCCGTGTTGTTTTAGGAGATAAATATTAGAAATGGTCGAAGTCCTCAGCTCAAGTCCCGCCTTGGGCCCAAAAATCTGCAGGGTGGGTTGGGGATCCGTGGTGGTCGCTTTACTCGAACAGGATGCAATAAAATGGAATGTTACCCTTTATTATAGCTGTTTTAGAGATAAGGGGAAAAAGTCCCATTTTGTACCCTGGTGCGACTCAATCGCATGATTGTAAGGAATTATTTTGCAACAATTTATGAATACCACAAAGGGAATAATATATTTTATTTTCGGTTGCTGGGGAAAAGGGGAGCGCTTCCTGGAAACTGAAGTGACTCATTTTTCTCCAGAATTGGATTGAGGGTTTCCAGGTGATGAGAAAAAACCCTTAAAAGTTGGCATAAAATGAATTCGTATTTTCCAGTCCCTATCTGATCCCATGGGTTCTAGCCTGAATTTATTCTGGGGTTGTCCCTCCCACTTCTAAAGCCCCGTTTCCTACTATCACCTCTTAACAAGTTTCTTACGATGAGATAACCTTTTCCACAAGCAACGAAGCTGCCCCATACGTGTAGCCTTTGTGGCAACACTGCCGTATAGTATTACAATTTCAGTTAAGAGAGTTACCCGAGATAATGAAAACACAATGGAAATCTACCTTGAATCAGCGGAAAATGCGATTTAAAATCTTCAACCTTTAGCAATAGCCGTAAATCCTCTATAAGTTTTTGGGGCTGAAAAGTCACATATTTTTTCGGGAATCCCTCACGTGAAAGTTGTTTCCGAAAGCATAAGACCAATTACGCTGAAGAGAATGAAAACTAGTATCGCTCTGTTGCAAAATTCGAAGTGTTCGAAATTGATATGAAAATTGGTCTTTACCGTCAAACATGCGTGCAAACTATTAAAAGGACTACTTCACCTGTAAATGCTTTACGTCCGTACGTGGAAGTGGGGCTTACTTGAAAAGAATTGTGGAACATCCTAACTCAGTCGTAATTGATAACACAGGGATTGAAAAAAAAATCTTTGAAAACTCAATTCCGTCTGAGCCACTAAAAACTACAACAGTTTCTTTTATTTTTAAAAAAGCAAGACTTGCTGAAAATTTTCTAATAAGTCCTCAGTACAGCACCCCCCCGAAAGATCGCAAGCCAAAGCAAATGTTTTGAAACTACGCAACCACGAAAGCCACTTCAAAAATAACTACAACGCGCCCCTGTTTCGTACACAGGGGCGTCAAGATTTGTATTTCCAATTTCAGTGAACCATTTATAACTTCACAGAAAATGTACACGTACAACGTGTACTGCGTATCATACGTATCTTCAACACACGCACAGTAAAATGAACCACGAATTCCCCTAGGCCCTGTATTCACACTTCCACGAAACTGGCTTTGTAGCAAAATAACCGGACTTCCCCGCCCACGACCTGTTCCGAGAATAGGCTCCGGCCAATTAAATCTCTTTCGGTGAAAATTCTACCTAATTAGAGAAGTATAGGTTTTACATCACAACTGTAGCGGAAAGTGTAGTACTCGTCACTACTGCTAGACTTTAGTAGTTCGTGTGAGATCAGTGCGAGTAGTGGGCGGAGAAAAATTTCTTTTTTTAAAGAAAACTTTCCGCAAGTCTTGCTTTTTTAAAAATAAAAGAAACTGTTGTAGTTTTTAGTGGCTCAGAGGGAATTTAGTTTTCAAAGATTTTTTTTCAATCCCTGTGTTATCAATTACGACTGAGTAATGAGTAATGAGGTATGAAGTTCTGGCCAAAAGTTAACGAAGCTGCACAGAATTACAGTAATTTGTAAGTTAAGAGCGAGGTGTGTATTGCAAATGCATCCAGATGGTAATCAGTCAGCCGACCCAACTATATGTACGCACCGTTATCAACAAACGAGGCTTTCACAGAACCCCTTTTGAGAAGTTTGCCGACATATGTTACTATGTATCACTTGATCGAAAACGCGTCGAAGTGAGCTTTTGTCCTTAAACAAAATACACTTCAGGGCTACACATTTTGGCAGTAAAAATAATAACCTTTCAAATTTGATCTTTTTCAACAGGAACGGTCTTGAAGAGAGAGAGAGGAAAAAAAACCCTCTGGGATGCGAACCAAGAACGTCACCAACGATACCAATCGATACCAACGATACCAACAATTGGCAATATGATCAGGATCACCAATTGGTTTGCCTTCATGGATAATTAGCAGTTCACTGCATTGGACAACCCAAGAAATCCAGCCAAGTTACCAGCAATGCAGTTGTGTGTTTTGCTGGCGTGCGTCGACTTTCATGATGCAAAAATCATGTTATGCTGCAGATAAACCAAACAAAATTTAGCTGAACACAGTCATAAGCGATGTTGTTGTGCCAAAACTACCACGGACAAATATTCATTGCTTCCCAAATTCTGTGTTTTATGTCCATCGTTTAGTACGGGAAAGGACATCACTTGACACCCTGTGCACAAATTCTGTGAAACTGGTCGAAAAAATGTTTTCAAGGTAAATGGTTCAATTTTTGCTCAGCTAACCTAGGACATACTGTTACTTTCTAACGGCTGACGTTACTGGAGGGAAAATAAGTGATGTCCATATGGAATTCTCCCCATTGTATGCCGTCATGCTTCACGTACAGCGACACTAGCATACGGTGTAATGATGCATTTGCTGTGCGATGATGCATGGAAAACCAATAGACCTTTACACCACAGCGCTCATCTGCATAATTGTTTACCTATACATGTCAAACCCTCACCCATACCCAATCAAAAGCTCTACGGTTTTCAGACACTTCAACATGTCAATGTGGAGCAACAGGTCGGGGCTGTTTCATTCAGTCGACTTAAGCCAGGAGCACACACCTGTCGGAAAATCGTAACGACTGGTAAGTAGGACATTTCCTTTGTCTTATTCGTGGTGACTGCTTGAACTGGACATCTTCCCATAGGAACACCAGTGAAACACTCCACTAGAGAAAGGCACAATTTCCTCTTTTTTTCCCAGCTTTTTAGATGTTAAATCCTCTAGCCAAACAATTACTTGTAATCCTTGAACACGTAAAAAATTGAATTACCGTTACTACTTCGCACACTGAAGTGTAAGGTGGCATGCAATACGTGCTGTGCTGTGAGAATTGTTCTCTCGCCGCCATTTCAAAGCAAATAAGCCGTGATCCGTACCTTATTTCGTCGCCTGCAAAATGACGTATTTTGAGTACAAAATGCATACTAATAATTGTATCTACCTATCGTGAGAAGGAAGTTGGGATTTTCAGTCTATCTGGGAATGAGGGAAATCCAATTTTTTTTTGTTAAAGGTGGTTTTGGAAATTGGCCATAAGCACAAATTTGACGGCCCAACACATGCGTGAATATGTGTAGTTTACCATTTGAATTTAGTCCGGGAGGAACCCGTTTGTAGCCTTGAAGGAACACCAAACGGACTTAATTTGCTCCGCCAGACAAAAGGCAATCTCTGGTACAAAACCCTTGCCTTCCAAGAAGAAGAAACAAATACACTATTTAAGATTTAACTATTATAAAAGTACACCAGACTTGGTTGAATTGTCTTTTTCATTGGGTGATTCAAACTTTTCAAAATTAAACAGCGTCCATATAACAAACTCTTTACAAGCGTCATTTATTCCAATTTAAAACCCGTTTTGGATGTTGTAAATGCATTTCCCTTAATTTAATTGAAAAGAAAATCATTTTAACTGTTGTAACAGAAACAAGTGGGCTCAAGGTTAATAATAAGAACATGCCTTGAGCGAAATTATTTCGTGGCAAAGTGCAGGGATCACCATTCAACCACCATGACGAACTACGTGAACCTCGAAATTCATGCACCTTACATTCATATGCACACGCCGGGTCATCATATAATGGTTTGAATCAATTTTCTTTTTGACATCTTTTCATGAATCCCGATATTTGCAAATTAATTAATGAAAAAGTGGTCGAATGTCTCCTGGCATGAGCGCAGTGAGTTGCATACGCCTGTTTGTTTGTCGGAAAGCTTGCAGCTTGTTATATATCGGCAGCTATATTTGATGTCCTAATTCAGTAATATCGTAAAATTTCAATATTAACATTTCAATATTAGCATTTCACATATCATGAAATCATTTTGAAGAGATGAAAGGAGGCACAAACAATAAATGTTTATAGGAATTAACGGTGAGAATGATTTCATGACGTGATAGATGAAATGCTCTATTCAACGAGGCGAAAATCTGTCACCGAATATGGCGTGCAAAGTTAACATTTAATACGCGTATACAGATATCTCTATTCCTGATAGAGATATCTCTTTTCTTAATAGAGATATCACTATCGTACGTCCTGTTTTAATTAGAGATATGCCTATTATGTTTCTGGTCCTGGACACTGTATCAACGGAAGGGTCATTGTAACGTCACGCACAAAGTTTCACAGAGCTTCAAGAAAGTAGATTTTTAAACGGAAAACGCCGAAGTCGACGGAAGCGGTAACTTAATAGAGAGATCTATATTTCGCAATAGAAATATTTCTATTTTGCAATAGAGATATCTCTATAACCAATAGATATATCTCTATTATGAATAGATGCATCTCTATTATCAATAGATATATCTCTGTTATTAATAGAGATATCTCTTTATAACAGTTAATTATATATTTGCACGTCTTGGTACAGAGATATCTGTATATGTGGATTAAAAGTTACCTTTGCACGCCATAACCGAGTGAAATGTTTCTTACCATTCTACGAATGTGAAACATATATACCTGCATATATCCCTTCTTTTAGTTAAACAAATAGGTCCCACTCACGTATACGTGTCCCAAACAGACTGAAATTATACTTACCATAGTACGAATGTGAAACATTCATACCTGCATAAATCCTCTTCTGTTCATTGAACGAATATGTCCCGCTCACGTTTTAGTGTCCTAAACAGATTCGTGTCATCAGGAGCATCGTGCAATGTTAGACTGGCTTCGTCTTTACATTATTTTTCCTTTTCTTACCGGGAATGAGGTAAGCTTATATGAAATGGGGGCGGAAACCAGCAGGGTATCCAGCTTTTGACGTGGAGGAGGCAAGTTGAAAAGCAAATGTGACTTTGGGATCATTAAACGTGATGTTGGGGAGAAAGAAAATCAAAAGCCTTACTCGCAGTCCCAACATCCTCGCTTTTATTTCATTGTGTTGTTGGTGCTTGTATCTGATAAATATAAGTATAAATATAAATTTCATATATAAATATATATATAGATATAAAACTAACCCTTAAAAATTTCGAAACAAACAAGGGATTAAACCCACAGTATCGTAATCTTATTGACACAAGAAAAGCAAACGGACAAGTCAAAATGGGCAGTCCTTTTTCCAACCGAGAGCGTCCTAACTCGGGTTTGCTAAGCATGAAGTACCAACATGTCTCTCTATATTCTGCCGTCTTGTGATCGGTTTATTTGCCATCCATCGCTACCAGGAGAAATCCACTGCAGATAGATTTCTGAAATTCGAAACATATCGTAAAACTTTTCATTTACCAGAAAAACCTGGGTTGAGCAGCCTGAACTCTACCAGAATTTTGAGCACCTCTTGCAGTCTCTCTCGGAGGATTGTGTTATCGGCTAAGTGCTAAAACCGTGGCCGAAGCAATTACTATCATTTGACCGAATGGCGTATGGGTTTGCCTCTAGTTTCCTTAACACACACACACTTTTTGAAAGTTACAAACTTGACGTCCAGTTATGAGACCGCATTTTCATGTTTTAATGTCGAAGTTCGTGCAGATGACAATTACTGACATGCCGACGTAGCTGACGCACCCCAAATCTTGCGTTCCCAAAAAGGTCAATGAAATTAATCCAATGCATCACAAATTCCGGCGTTTTTGAATACTCATCGCGAATCCTGACATCACTGATCATGGCTGAGTTAATGGAATCAACAAAAACTACTCGAACCCGGAGGAATCGATCATCAAAAACAGAGCCTTCCCTGTCACTGTCGAGTGGCGAAAGACTAGATGGTCGTCATGCATGTATGTGCAAGAAAGACATTTCTGCCATCAATTCTAAACTGGACAAGATCCTGGAATCACTGGAAAGCATGGGGTCCAGATTAACCAGACTGGAAATTAACCTGCAAAAAAACTACTAACAAGGTAACTGAACATGACAGCGATAGATGATCTGTAATCAGCAGTTTCTTTCCTTGAAAATCAGTACAAGAAGGCTACGGCACATATCAACAACCTTACCGATGACAATCACCGACACATATGTCAGCTCAAAAATCAAATCGACGATCTACGGAACAGAAGCCGCAGAAATAACGTCGTGATACATGGTATCCCTGAGGGATCGGAGGGCGACCAGTCATGTGAAGCCTTTCTTGCCGATTTCTTCTCGACTCACATGAAACTGGAAGACAGCCGTGGCATAGAGATCGAGCGGGCCCATCGTAACCCGGGACGCCAATCGCCATCGCAACAAGGAAAGGATCTCAGGAAAGCAAGGCCACGTCCCATCTACTGTAAATTACTACGCTTCACCGATCGTCAACATATCTTGAAACAGGCTTCAGCGGCTCTCCGCAACAATCTAGGATCACATATTCTCATTTCCGACGACGTAACTCGTAACATCAGGAATGCCCGCAAGCTGCTGAGGGAAAATCACCTCACCTCAATCAGGGACACGTCGTGACGCTCATCCCCTGGTCAGTCCCGGCAGTCATCACAAACAAGCTTCACAATAGTGCTTACAAGGTCTTCCGTCTTGGGTACGCAAGTTTGTCTTAAATGAATCTTTGTGAGTCAGCTAAATGTCAGCGTAATATATTCAATTTATACGATACACTGTTAGTAACATTTGTCTTGTTTCTGTGTGTGTGCTGGAGTGAAGCTAGACCAATCTATGATAAACACTTGACGGCAGTAAATGAGAGTGATTATGATAGAGAAGTTACCTTTAATATCCATTTAGATATAGATCCGGACATGCGTCTAAATTTACCCACCATTACGTGTAAATATTACGATCATGACCAGTTTTTGAATACGTATGCTTTAATACAAACATTAAGCGCTTGCATATAAACGCTCGTAGTCTACCCAAAATATTTGCGATATCAGACAATTGATTTCTATTTTAGACAACAATTTTCCTATTATTGGTATTTCTGAGACCTGGTTGAAGTCTCTTAACGATCCTCTTGTGAGTATTCCAGGTTACGTCATTGAAGGCTTTTGCCGACCAACAAGATGAGGTGGTGGAGTCGCACTCTATATCCAAGAAGATTACACCTTTGAGATTAGACACGATATTTGCATCAACCTGGTAGAAATTGAATGATACATTATTGAGATTGAAAACTCAAATATGGGTAGCATTATTGTGGGAATAATCTACAGGCCCCCTGATATCCCCTCTGCCAATTTTGTAAATTTATTAATGTTTTAAGTAGAGTGGATAATAAGAACAAACGGTGTTACTTCATGGGTGATTTTAATATAGATTGGCTACATAATAGCACAGATGACTCTGTGCAGTACTTTCTAAACACACTGTTTGCACATTCCTTCCATCCAATGATTGATAAACCTACGAGAGTCACAAATGTAAGTTATACCTTAATAGACAACATTTTTACAAATGATTTGTCAAGCCATAGTGCAGGTATCCTTATGACTGAGTCTTCACCACAATAGACAAACGTACGACTACACACTCAAAAACTCAAAAAAGTGTTAAGCGTAATTTCAGTAAAAGAAAAATTCATCACTTTAATCAAGATCTTATTAAGTCGTATTAATAAGTCAAAATCACCTTGGATAACGGAAGGAATCTATAACTCAATCAGGGAAAAAACATCTGTGTAAAAATATCCTCAGAACCCTAAAGTTCATAATAAATCTGCCTACATAAAGTTTAAAAACAAGTTAACATGTGTTCTAAGAATGGCAAAGAGAAATTACTGAGTTGAACAATTTGATAAAGAGAAACATAATGTTGAAGGTACATGCATGGGAGCTTATTAATTCGTTGCTCAGTAAAACAAACGTTAAACAAAATCCGTCCTATTATACGCAAAGGGGTGCTAAAATTGATTCTGACATTGATATTACTAATGCTTTCAATGATTATGTCATTAACATTGGCAAGAAAATAGCAAGTGAACTATGTGCACATTCTTTATTTTTCGCTCCTGTTCCTGAAGCAGGTGTAGCACTTATTATTTCAAAACTACCGAATGGAAAAGCCCCAGGTTACGATGGTTTAAAGGAAGCTGGTTATGCGCTATAGCAACTCCTCTGGCTATTCTTATTAACAAATCATTTGCCACTGGGCGTTTTCCTGAAGGATTGAGAATTGGAATAATAGTACCCATTTTCAAAAATGGTGATAACTATGATGTAAGTAGCTAAAGACCCATAACCATAATTCGTCTGTTTTTCCAAGGTATTTGAAAGAAATAGTACCGAATCGCTTGATGTACGTCATAAACCAGCATGGTCTATTATCAGAATCTCAGTTTGGGATTCGAGCAAATCATTATACAGAGTTGACAATTGTTAGTGTCTTAAACAAAATTATAAATGCGATTGAATACAGACAATTCTCTTCGGCGTATTCCGGGATCTGTCTAAGGCGTTTGATACAGTTGTAAATCATGATATTCTTATTCACAGATTGGAGCACTTGGCATACGAGGAATCGCCTCAGACTGGTTCAGGAGTTAGTTGTCAAATAGGATGCAGTTTGTTTCAAATAACTCCGCTACCTCCACACTTCGTACTATTACCTGTGGTGTTCCACAGGGCTCTGTATTGGGTCCCTTATTGTTTATTATATATGTAAACTATATTTGTAATTCTTCCGATAAAATTTCCTTGTCTTTTTGCTGAGGTTATATAACCATCATAATGTGAGTATACAGCCATTAGTAATCTGAATACAGAACTTGAAAAGGTGAATGAATGGCTTTTGTCAAATAAAATTTCAGTAAATTTACTCAAGACAAATTACAACTAAACAAAATAACAAAATTAAATCTAAACAAAATAAGTATACACGAAATACGCTTCTCTGTTTACGTGGTAATGTTCTGAACCAGGTCAAAAGTACCAAATTCATGGGTGGTTTATATTGATGAGAATCTCACTTGGACCAAACATATCGACGTCTTGTGTACAAAAATCTCAAAAAATATTGGCGTTATGAATAGATTAAAATATTTTTTTACCGGAGACTATACTCTTGACTTTGTATACTACCCTTATTCTTTCCTACTTAAATTATGCCATTCTTTCCTGGGGCAGTTCGACCGCTCAATGCAACAAGCTGTTTATTTTGCAGAAGGAAGTTGTCCGAATAATATAAAAAAAAACAGGTTATCTAACGCAAACAGGACTGTTATTTTAGAAACATGGAATACTTAAAATAAACGACCTTTCAATTTGAACTTGGGTAAATTTATGTTTAAGTACAAAACTGGTCTTTTACCTCGCCATTTCAATGACTGTTTTATTACTCTTTTTTCAGTACATTCTCATGCAACTAGAAGTGCATCTAGGGGCAACTATTATGTTAATTACAATCGTACTTCTGTTTCCAGAAATAGCATTATTTCACGTTGTGTGTCCTAGCGACTCTAGCGCTAACCCCCTACATTTACAAAGACATTTAGCCCATTTAATGAAAATCAGATCATGTAATCTTGCTAACCTACTTCCATTCATTAAAGGTCTTGTCTCCAGAGTTAGCAAATCTGTCTTTAACTGTTGTCTATTCTACCAGTATTATGTCGTATGTCTCATGTCTTCTGTCTCATGTTTCTTGTCCAGTCTAAACCATTGTTCGTGTAAATTGGGAAAGCCAAAAGCATAGTGCTTCTTTTTTCCCTACACGTTGGTAATAATTTAGACTATGTACAATTATCAAACTCAATACACCAGTTCCCATTATTGTTGTAACGAAATTCACTATGCATGTATGATTTTGATGTACATGTACTTGGAATTTCATTTGCTATTTTCCGAACAAAAAAAATCTATGGAGTCGTCTGTGTTTACCACAACCTTTGTTTTACAACTCACAGGTCTTTTGTAAAAGTATATTTTATGAATAAATGATACATTGTAAAGATATTATGTACATCCTTTGTGTCCTATGGAGAAAAATCTCATATCCCTTTACTGGTTCCGTAGTATCCAATACTTTTGGACTGTGGATCGAGGCACTATCGTAACTGGTGAAAGGCTGCGCCATTTGGCTTCCGTCATATGGCGTCATCGTGAAACATGATGAAGGCCTATGCAGTATTTATCTTCGTCTGTGCTTTATCATATTTCATGGTAGATGAGAAATGGACATAACATTCTTGTGATCATTGTCTGGATGCAATTGAAATCAAGATAAATCATTTGGCATGAATACCAAGAGATGCAGGGAGCCCAGACAAGCAACCTTGTCGAGTCTGAGACCCCTGAACAGCTAACATAAATAGACAAGGTACGTAACAAGAAACGACAACCGGTTTGAAACAAAAAACGACTCTGTAGCAATATAAACATTTGAGCTCTGTTTGATCACGGAGGAACATAAAACTGAAACGCAAATAAATATGTACAGTATAAATAATAAAACGACCGTGATCTTTATTCATACTACAATGAGCGAGGCATTTCGGGTCGGGATTAGGTTATTTTCTCCTATTGCATTTCATTATTTTGTTGTTGAATAGTTGGGCAACAGTCATTAGCTTTGTGGTATTTGCACACTTCCTAGCTCTTCCTATTTTTTATTTAATATTATTCTATTATTTTCATTTAATTTTGGGTAATGACATGTACTAAGGATTCCTCAACTGAGCGCCCTAGGGTACTGTAAGCTGGCGAGCCTTGAAGAAACCTGTGGAAATAAGACGATGAGAAACAGTTACAGTTGTAGAGGTAGGAGGAAAACCCCAGAAGAATATTCTGGGTAAAACCCACGGAATCATGTAGGATTATGGCCTATTTCAAGTAATGACTCTCTGACGTGTCTAGAATATGACCGGTGGGTTGTGTTATCAAAGGTGCGCAATCGTTGATATCAGTCTGCAAAATACCGAGGAAATTTGTATACTGCTTTAGAATTGTGATGCATCTAGGGAAAAGAGTGCTTTTTATCCACGCTAATATTTGCAGGTATCATCGACAAGAATATCATCACGTCAGCCAGTTTCTGAAGTTTTTGGAAACGGGAGTAATCCTTTTTGCAAGCCTTTTTTTGGCGCTTACCGGGTCTGAAGATCTCTCATAACAGGCAGTATCTTGTGTTTTGAGAACCAGACTAATCAATGGACTGTTCACGTGTAAGAGCAGACCTTGAAGGATTACAAGGTAACCCCCAAGCCTTTTGATTTGCTCTAACGTTATAAAGTATCGAAGTGAATACGTCACGTGCACAGTGTAAAATCATTAGCGCGAAGATCAGTGCTTTCATTTAATTTATTTATTATTTTTCAGGTAGTAACAATAAACAACACAAGGAAACAAATACAAACCACACATTAAAAACAAAGACATGGACACTTAAAAGACTGATAACACCCCTGAACCAAATTACTGTCGAAGTGGCTCGACTCAATACGCGTGCGTACTCTATTCGTTTGCACTGCACTTTTGGGTTTGTAGTGACGTCGCAATTCAGTAGGCTATTTTATTTGTCAACGAATACAAGATGTGCTGGTGCAGACAAAGCCGTAAATTTATGTTATCGGCCGTGTTAAATCAGTGCTGTTTTAAAACGGGTTTGTAACGAAAATCTATGTAATTCATTGACTTTTTTACAGTTATTTTACAGAGAGAAATGGTAACACGTACCTTTTTGCTAGCTTTCCATTTAACTCTTTTTATTTTATTTTATTTCACTTAATTTTTCATTTCAGTTTTTATTTCACTAATTTATATTCGGAGACTATTTTTCAATCATGGCTTTTTTGGAATAGAACTTTCGGCACACACGTACGTGTACAGGTACATCCTGTCCATTTACATTGCATCTACGTGCAGCGCACGTGGGAAATGGCTCCTTGATTTCACATACCAATGTACACGTAATCGTTTAAGATCGGCCAAGCACATATTTATTCTCTTATTGATAAAATTGGTACCTGACATTTGAAAAAAAAAACAATTTGTACTGACGGTCAGCCGTTATTTGTACACCACTGGGTGGCAAAATCTATAATTGTGCCTTGCATCAAATTATGATTGATTGATATTAATTTTGACATATGCCAACCGAACCGTTTCTGCCTTGCGTGTAAACGCAAAACATTGCTCGACATACCATTTTCCGTTAACGAGGTTACTGGGCATATGTGAAATGGGTCCTAAGACTTCATAGTTGTTAATTTCTTTATTTCTAATTTCGTTATGATCTACCCACAGATAGTGTGAATCCTCTAGATTGCAACATCAGTGGTTCGTCAATCACAATGCAAACAAGCTATATCCTTTGAAACACGGCTGGTTCCTTTTCCTTCGAGAAAACAATCCCCAATGAATTGATCTGAAGCGTTAATTTGTCATATTTCTGTCTTCAAAGACGGTAACATCTGGACACGAGTAACACGTCGAATGCCTTGGAGTAAGGACGTTTGAAGGACATTTTACACGTAATCTATAAACATTGACAGAGAATACTAAATTAAACGAGGCTTGAAAACTTTCCTTTTAAGATTTTGGGCATAACGTAATTTGAAAAGGAACTTGCTACAGAAGCAATCAAACAAGTAAAGACCTTGGGAAAAGGGGAAACATACGTACACATGGGGTATGAAAGTTTTTCGTCATCGGATCCGAATAACTGGGGGCCACCGACACCTGGCCCTCCCGTGTATTCAGTTGCCATACTTCTGTCGGTTTTGGGCCTCTTTGGTCTTGTCGGTAACGCCTGCATGGTGTACATTATTTTGCGTCACAAGCACATGCGCACTGTGCCCAACGTCCTCATCCTCAACCTTGCGGTGGCTGACCTTCTCTACATCCTCGTGCCCACGTCGTTCTACGTTGAGAGTCTGATCAACAACATCTGGGACCTGCCTGAGTGGGTCTGCAAGCTAGAGAGCTACGTGGTGCACGTGGCGCAGTACGCGAGCGTCTTTGCATTGACCGTTCTAAGCTGGGACCGCCACGCCGCTGTTACCAAGGTGCCACTCCGGGAGGCCAAATTTCTCCGTGCTATCGCCCTGGTGTCGATCGTGTGGCTGACCTCTGGTCTCCTATCCATCCCTGCCCTGGTGTTTGCCAAGCTCGACACTACTAATCGAAACTGCCGTCGCTCTGCCGAGGACACTCCCACTAGAAAGGTCCTTATACTTGTTTGGATGCTGGCTGGCTTTGGGATACCTCTCATCGTCATAGCTTTTTTCTACTTGAAAATTGCCATCCACATTTGTCGTAGTACTAACTCAAAGAGGTTTGTATGATGTAGCCGATACGATTTGAAACGCTTTAAATCCTTCGTCGGAAAAACGACGAGTGACGAAAAGAACGGTCGACGAGTGGCATGATTATTTTTCAATGCAAGAAGGGGCTCTCCGAATACTGACGAATATTCCAAATGGAATACAAATCAAGTACCTATAGATTTCGTTCATGCAAAGATGAACTCATAATTATCTAGGTCCACTCGAACCTATGTCTATGCACACTCACGTTTAGGACTTCAAGCAATTGACGAGGAGTTGGTACATGTATTACATACCTTCGCTCATCCCAAGTGAACTGAAAAATGTCACAGCTACAGATGCGCGAAGCTTTTTGTGCCCTCGTCAATTACTTTTTCAGAGCGCAGATGTCAAGGAGGCCTGCACAAGTGTTGGCATGTGTTAATAAATGACTCTTTACCCACTGAGTGTTCGAGGCCATGCATCATGAAATAACTGTCCTTCCCAGTGCCTTGAAATCAGAAACTATGGCACACTGTGTAAATGTAAAAACAACGTTTAGAGCTTAAACACCTTTTACACCAACATTTTCCATACGTTTAACCCACGATGTGTTTCCTGAAATGTGTTTAGGAATGTGTTTAAATGGTACACGCTTTTTCATTGTACATGCATAGATCTTTGAAATCCGCTTAGCATTTTAACACATTCTTAATCGCATGGCAATAAACATGTCGTGGTTAAACATACTATAAAAGTGGGTAGATAAAAGCGTTTAGAAATGTGTTTAAACGCTAAGCACTTTTTTTTTTTACATGTAAAGGCAACCTTTAAGGTGCATGTATCCCCCTGTACTACAAGGTGTTGTTCTGTAATAGACTTTACTGTATTGTGTTGACCACACAGATTCCCCAACATCAATGTTGCCTTAGCCAAACAGATGCGAGACCGGAAGCGCTTGGCCGTGTCTGTCTTGATCATCATCCTCTTCTTTGCCCTGTGTTGGGGGACCTTCTTCTCCTACTACATAGGTATCCACTTCTCGACGACATCCGAAGCCCACCGCAACGCGTCCTACATCATGCCGATAGTCAACACGTGTTTAGATCCCTGGCTCCTCTTTGCCATCAGTTCCAATCACCGGGCGAGCTTAATCGGCTTCCTCTGCGGTGCTTGCCGGCGGCCAAAAAGAGGCGCTCGCAAAGCAGACTTAACCTCTGGGCAAGTAAAGAGATACACGCGTACCGGTAGCAGTGGAGTAACTGGAACCAGTGCTGAAACTGGTTCCACTTTGTTAGGTCCAGCTACCAACTGCAATAAGTAGTTGTTAACCTTTGCTCCCTTCCCAGCGTTTTTGCAAGACCAAATTTGGAGTTAGGCTTTGTCAATTTTATTTTATACTGCCTTGTACCGTTGAATACTGTGCGGTTGTCCCCATAAGTCGTAAATCGACCCGCAATCACCCCGCCGAACTCACTCAAAATACTTCGAACAGTATGAATACACATGCTAATATAATGTATCGTAATAACAATATCATTAAATTGGGTGATCATGCACCCATCTATACTACTTACTTGAGGGTGCAACTGCCTGCACAGGGCCACCGACTTGAATACAATATCAAATTTGTTACCAGGCAATAGTTGGACGGCTGCCAAAGATCTGAGGGTCGTTCGCTCCTCAATAACATTATCTTTATGGGAAACATAAACCATATTGATATACTGTCGTTGAAATCAAAGAAGAAGAGCAAAAAGGATTCCTGGGATAAATAAAGGCGTCTGTCAAAACTGCCGACGGAAAAAAAACAAGAAAAACCAACATCCAAAACTAAAAATAACAGGGCAATATAGGCTACAACTGCTAGCCTAGTAAAACGACAACTACAAAGAGCTAATTAGGAATAGTAATCGACAATTTCGCAAGTACATGTAATGCTATACAAATACACAGGCTACAACTGCTAGCCTGAGCACACCAGAGATATGGTAATACTCCGGGGACAACAAAAGAGATATATAGCAAGGCAAGCAAACAAAAAAACCGTGTCACTTGGCACCAAATGCTGCGTGCCCACTCAGCATGACTCTGCACATGTTTTTTCCTCCATAGAATTTGCGCATAGATTTTAAGGTTTATTTTTCCAACTTACCAATATTATATAAGCATGGAACTTACACTGAAGGAAGATCGTGAAGCAAAGAGGGGTCTCAGAAATAGTTCATTGTTGTAACGATATATCATGTGACATGTCACGTGACATTAAAAGTGCAATCTTTAAAGTACTATAACTTCTAAGGTGCACGTCCGATTGTGTTGAAACTTTGTATATAACTTTAAAGCCAAGTGTTCTGGAGGGAAAAAGACCTCAAGTTATGATGATAATATCACGTGACAAGTCACGTGACTTTAAAGGTGCACTCTTTAATGGCCCGTTTCTCTTGAAATACAATGCAATAGGATTGAACCTTGCGTATAACTTCAGGACGAAGTGTTTTAGAGGACTGTTGACCTTGTGTGACGGTGATGATATCACGTGACACTATAGGTACTGTCTTTAAATTTCTCCTGAAGTAGGCCTACACGTCCAATCGTGTTGCAACTTTGAATGTAGCTGGAAAACGAAGTATTTTACATCAATATTGATCTCATGTGATGATGACATCATGTGACCGGTCAAATGCCATTAAAAGTTAATGCCATTCAATCAATTGCATGCACGTCTGATCAGGATGGAATGTGCAACCTTTAAAAGATACCGCTCTTTTTCATTATAGTTGCATCAAGGATGGACTCAAATGGTGATATGATACAGTTAAAATGATGTCATAATGACATCGATGAATTTATCAATGATTTTTGGTTTTTCTTTCAAATCGACTTTCTACACAGATATACAGCCAATATAGCCGATATTTTGGCAACTCAGCTGTATTCCATGAAACTGTAATATTATCATATCAGATCTATTTTGTAAACATTCTTCTTTTATTATACGATTTGACTAAAACAGCCAACTCCGAAACAGCCTGTGTTTGTTCACATACACCACCTCTAGTTTTATATTTGTTACTCTTTATTGACACAGATCCTAGACATTTGCAAACCCCTCACGTCTGTAGTCTATTTTTTAATGTGTACTTGTTGATGGTGTATTAAATTATCATTTGTCTTTCATGAGATGGAGGCTATATCCCGTCTTTACATTCCAAACACCATTTCTCTCATTGTGTGCAAACCATGACTGTATTTGAATTTAATTTAACCTATGGGCCCCAATTTTTGGCGGCCTTCACTGGGTGGATAACTTTTTCCCCTCTTATATTTAATTTTAAATTCTGGAATATAATTCTCCATATTTATGCCATATTGATGTTGTCTCGTTTTAATGAATATCTCATTTATATATTGACCCTCCATGTATCGTATGTTATGTACTATCTTTGTTTGTGTTGCTCTCTGTGGAGAGACACACCCCTCTGGCAACAGTGTTCGAATTTACTCTTTGTAATTTCTCCTAGGCAGCCTTTCAGAATCTTCTTTGTCGTCCTGTCTGTGTACTTGTTATAAGATGTAATGTCTTTTATTGTGAAATACCTGTATGTTTGGTATTTGTAAATGTGTATTGTATCTCTGTGCTTATACAGGGTGTCCCAGAAAAAAAAACCAAGCCCTGGGGAAAGGGGTTAATCATGAGATATGATTATAATATATAAAGATCTCCGAAAAGTAGAAGCAGTATTCTTTCTAATGATACCTTGATGGTATCCCTCCTGTCATGCATGACTGAACGCCATTGTCTTGAGAATGCCCCATTTTCAAGACAACGGTGTTCAGTCATGCATGCCACGAGGGATACTATCAAGGTATCATTAGAAAGAATACTGCTTCTACTTTTCGGAGATCCTTATACATTATAATCATATCTCATGGTTTGGGCATATTAACCCCTTTCCTCAAGGTTTGTTTTTTTCTGGGACACCCTGTATTTTGTACTTTGCCTGAATAAACTATTGTTGTAATTATCATTATTATTATTAACCTTTAGCCGTCCCACTCTCCCACTCTTTCCGGACTTTACGGCTCTCCTGAAGTTTCAGAAGTAATTGAGATCGAAACGTGCATCAAATCCCCATACAAATTTCCTACATAGGCTTCTCACATACTATACTGGAATTAGTATTAAGGCTTCACGCCTGGAAATAGTGCAGTAATTGCTTTGATGAGTAGGCATGGACGTCGAATCAACGGAGTTGCGAATGTTGCCATTAACGCTAATGGACAAAAATGAAGGATTCTCATTACTGAGTAGACTTGGGAATTAAACACTCAAACCCATTTGTTAATGTAAAACCACTGGATGCTGTTGCAGACTGATATACGTGTATTATGTTTATTTTATTTCGTGGTAGATACGTACATATGCAGACCCATTATGATGAACTATAAACATCTTGACATATCGGTTTTCATAGCGGGAGGAAAAGAGACCAACAAATACAGTGTAAAATAATCAGATGTATAAAATACAGTCGCGTCAAAAACTTTGCACATGAGGTAATTTATGATAGAAAGGTTGACTTCCTACCTCTGTTTTCTACAATAATTACTGTTGTTTCCATTGCTGTATAATTATTTCAACTACTACTCTTTCTATATGTTTTTATCAAAAGTTTCTGCCGTTTTTTTCACTTTGAATGATGCTTTTCATGCCGATAATAAATTATCGTAGATACATCATCTTCAGCAGCATTACGTTTGGTCGTGGCGAACGAGGAAAAACTCTCTCCAGTTTTGGTCACGTGAACATTAGGGCCGTTTTCCAATTCTCAACTTCGTCTCCGTCTCAGGCTCCGTCTCGATTGTAGGCTTGAAGCGTTTATATTAAATTGAAAAACTGTAATGTTTGGCTCTTTTGCATCCCATTTGATGTTTTGTGGCACTATTAGACTTACTACTGTGCTTACAACTTCAAAGTCAGGTAGTAAAAAAGGGTTAAGCCCTCAGACGGAGCCGAAGTTGAGTATTGAAAAACGGCTCAGGTTATTCAGATTAAGGTGGGTCATATTGTGGATCGTTCGTTCTCCCATTTTCTCTCATTGTGTTGCCTTGTATAAAACATCAAGTTTGAAGTGCAGTTTTTTTTGGAAACAACATTTGGCATCGAAATTTGCTTAATATTAACGAAATGTAAACTTAGCGTTCAGTATGACATGTATTCGAATTATATTGCCTTCTAATTTTATTTTTCTTCATATATATATTTTCTTTATAACTATAATTGTATTCACACACGCAAAGGTTTAAAATCACTGAATTTCTATGTAGAACCTTTTTATGAAGTTTAAATTTATTCAAAGTTTTAATGACTCGTAAAATTATTCTGACGACGCGTAAACCAAACACAAATTTATATTTAACAAATTTTCTCATTGTGTAACCATTTGTCTCCTAAAATAATTAATTTAAAATAATAATGAGTGAAAATAATTTTTTGGAAATTTTATTGAAGTTATTCTTGTACTTGCAAATAAACTCTGCGTAGTGTAGAATTGCTACACTGGGGATCCAATTATTTCAAATTACGTAATTAAAAAAATTCTGCCAAATGCAAAAACCTCCTTTTAATTTGTACCTCTGTAGATGCTGGAACAAAACCAAGGACCTTTGAAGGAAAAGTCGCAGGAAACTGAATTAACAAGGACTCAGACACTAATTTTTGACTTAAAAAAAAGGACCAAAAAAGTTTATTAATGAAAAAGTACAGGAAAAATGAAAAAAACTAAAAGGACTCAAGGACTAAGGACTAAAAAACACCCAAAGACTAAAACTTTAAAAGACTCAAAACCAAAACCCAAACCCAACACAGTGCGTAAAATGGACCTTATGAGTTTACACTCAGACTTCAATCACTGACTACTAGCAGAATAGGATTCAAGCAGAAAAACCACACTCCAGTTAGGAGGAACAATACATAGGTACATGTGAAGGTGACTGGTCTCTGCTGATCTGCTACACTGAGTGTGACCAGACCATGTGGTAACTCTATATGGGGGAAGCTGGGGCTTAAACAAATAAACAGGGGGGCACACTACTAGAAAAAAACCCAAGAACTCTAAACTAAAGTTAAACATTTTTAAAGGGGAACTACTTCATGTACATCAGTCTCGGAACTCCTCTGGTGGAGGAATGGCAGGAGCGGAAATCTGGTCCGACTGCTTCGGTGTTGCCTCATGTACGCCATGGTCTCATTGTGAAGGTTGGGCCAAAAGAACTTCTGCTCCACGAGTTTTAGCATCTGTCCATAGCTTAGTGTCTCCATACTGTGATGAAGGCTCCTGAAGATGTCATACCTCATCCCATGGGGTAGTACCGTCAAGTATTTGACCTTGGCTCCAACAGGCCTGTATAACAGTAGGCCACCCTTCACTTCCAGGTTATCCCACACCTGTAGCAACTGCTGCACCACCTTGGGCTCATGGGCCATCTTGCTACCACTCATCCTCTTGGGACCATCCAGCTTCGTATCCACGACCCTCCGTATGGCTGGATCTCGCTGCTGGGCTTCCCGCAGACTGTGTCCACTTGTTGTGCCTCCACTCTCATGGTTTGGCTCGTCATCGAATCGAGCACTGGCAGGGACTGCTTTTGGGTGTCTAGAGGGGACTCTGGGGGGCTTCAGGACTGTTGGGTGCGAGAGGTACCGTGATCGATACCCGGATCTTCCACCAAAAATTAAAAAAAAAAGTAACAGGGAAAAATGGAACACCATAGGGAATTCGCAAAACAACAAAAACTCTAACTAAACCAAGGATCTTTGAAGGAAAAGTCGCAGGAAACTGAATAAACAAGGACTCAGACACCAATATTTGACTTCAAAAACAGGACAAAAAAAATTTATTAACGAAAAAGTACAGGAAAAATGAAAAAAAAAACCTAAAAGGACTCAAGGACTAAAAAAACACCCAAAGACTGAAACTTTAAAAGACTCAATACCAAAACTCAAACCCAACACAGTGCATAAAACGGACCTTACGAGTTTACACTCAGACTTCAATCACTGACTCCTAGCAGAATAGGACTCAAGCAGAAAAACCACACTCCAGTTAGGAGGAACACTACATAGGTACATGTGAAGGTGACTGGTCTCTGCTGATCTGCTACACTGAGTGTGACCAGGCCATGTGGCAACTCTACATGGGGGAAGCTGGGGCTTAAACAAATAAACAGGGGGGCACACTACTAGAAAAAAAATCAAGAACTCTAACTAAAGTTAAACATTTTTAAAGGGGGACTACTTCTATGTAAAACGTGTACTTAATAACATGAACATTTCTGGCTCTGCCACACATGCAACAGGTCAGGCCAACTGCCCAATTCCCTCGAGGAAAAACAAACAAAAATTCTGTCATTCACAAATATATGGCAACCACCCGAGTTCAGTCGCGGGCCAAAGTTTCATGATCATGCACAATGAAGTCAACGAGTCCGTTTTTTCACAATTCATATTTCACAATCCAAATGAATGGCATCAAAACTAATGAGGGATCATTTGAACGCGTTTA